TGCCTCCAAGACATTCTGTGGTGTAGTTTGGTGGGGAAGAACATGCTGGTGATGCAGAGATCGTGGTAGGAGCAAAGCTCAAGTAGCCATTTTCTGTTCTCATTGAGCTTGCCAATGCCGAAGTGCCCCAGGCAGCGTGGCCAGGAGCTGTGGTCTGAGCCAGCCTGAGCGTTAAAGTCTCCGAGCAGGAACAAGTCTTCTTTCAGAGGGATCTCTCTGATTTTGGCCTCAAGTTCTTCGTAGAATGAATCTTTAGCTTCAGCTGTAGAGCAAAGTGTGGGAGCATAGATGCTAAAGATGCTTGTAAGTCCAAAGGAGGTTGTGAGGCGTAGAGAGAGAATTTGCGCGGTCTCCTGAGGTGGAGGCTCAACTGATGGTTGTAGGTAGGTAGGAGGTAGTTGTGTACTGCGAAGCTGACCCCCGTGGAATTGGCGCTCATCTGGCTCCAGTCCTTGCCAGAAGAAAGTATAATCCTTCTCCTTGAGACTGCCACTGGAGTAGAGGCATGTCTCCTGGAGGGCAGTGATGTCGATGTTGAGCTCCGATGCCTCACGGTCGATGATGACAGTTTTTCTGGTGTTGTCAACTACTGGAGGTTGTCAGAGAGGCCAGGATATATAACATTCCAGGTAGCCAGCTGTATGGTTGGCGGTTTCTTTCGTTGTTTGCCTGGTGCAGGATTTACAGTCTGCTCTTCGATTTTGTCCTAAGCTCCAAGCTTAGGACAACACTTAATTGGCTGGGGGCTGCCCAGCTTAAGGCGGGCGATAGTGACCAGTGAGATGCAATGGTCCCTCCCACTGTCAGGGAAAATCCGTAGCGCCCGAGCTCACGACAATACGCTCTGAGCTTATCACTTGTAACTGCTGTCCCCCGTGTTAGTTCTGCTGCTGGAACATTGACACTGGAGTGGCCTCTCCAGGACGCTGGCCCACACTCCTGGGGACCAGAACTCCGCCATAGTCCCTGTAGGTTTAGCCTGGGTGTGAAGTGCACCCACTTGCCATGTGTCACCACATGGTGGCACTACAATAGGACTAGACACTCGGCTCCCCCTTTCATCCTACTGTGAACGGCAGGCTGCAAGCAGCAGAAGCTAGCCAGTGGTGGAGGCTGAAGGCGAGAGAGGCGAACCCAGACACTGTGCAACCACACTAGACGCATCACACCAACCATTTGACAAACAGCAACATCTTAGAGCTCAGATATAATGGGAGTCAGTGAGAGTTCTGGTTGACTCGCTGAGTTCTGAGGTGATTTATGAAAACAGCATCAATCCTGCAGTGATGAGGCTCACACTGGGTGGAGGAGGACACAAATACAGACATTTATATGTTTAATTAGTTTATATGGAGGAGAAACTGTGAGAAGGAGACAGCCTTCATTGAGCTTCAAGAAAAAACATTTTGGTCAAATTTAGTGTTGACAAAAAATCTAAATTTTTTCAAAAATTCAAAATTAAACTGCAAACTGTAAAAGATATCAAAACATGGATTGAGACGAACATTCAAAGCCTTGGAACCCGTTTAAACTTTGAATGAAAATCTGCTGGAGCTACAGGGTTTCAAAGGTCTCTGGTTTGGAAGTCGTCCGGCTGACTAACCATTCGTTTCAACAGGGATTTTTATCAGTGATCATCACAACCTTGAACTGAACTTTGTGTTTTTGTCTCTTGTTGGGTGTTTTTGTCAGTTTGTGGTTATTGTCTAGCTCTTTGGTTGTTTTGCATCTCTTTGTAGTTGTTTTGTGTCTATTTGTGCTTGTTTTGTGTCTCGGTTCAAATACAGAGACTCAAACAGACAAAGGACACAGCTGACCAAACGTTTCAAACAATGAGAATTTACAGAAATAATAAAACCCAGTAATTTCAAAATGTGCAAAATATATACAAGTGGCAAAAGAAAAATAAACTTGCCACCAAAGGTGGAAAAAACATTCAAATTATTTACAGAATATACAACAGGAAGCAAAAGCAGGGTGAAAAGGCAAAAGCCAACCGGAAGCAGAAACGAGGTCAGAGGTAACTGTAGTCTTTTAACGACTAACAGTAGCCAAATCAAAACAGAGTAATTGGCACTCACTAGAGAAGCCCAAAGACAGGGAGGACTAACTATGCAAGAATACTCAGTCCTAAATTGAGACAGGAGTGAAATAACAAATGAAGAAATGGACGCTACCAATACGCTAATGCTACAATTAGTTTTAGACAGGATACAGCGGGAGACTGAGGCTTACTGACAGTAGGGTTGGCGAATGACGTGGCTGGTGGTGGTGAGGCAGATGGCAGGTGGACAGGTGCAGCAGGATGGTGAAGAATGAATTCAAAGCTTTTCATTCTGGCAGAGGCTGATCGGGGTGGGGCGCACACGGATACAGAAGATGACGGGGTAGGTCCTAACTGAGGCAGAAAACACAGAGGTTAGCTAAGGGCAGAGCACAGAAGACACAGAATCGCAGAATAGTGGCTGGAATAAACTAACTGGTGGTAGTTTACGGCCTGGCGTCGTGTTGTGATCTGAAGCCAGCATTTATAGGGAGTTAGAATGAGGTGGACAGAGTCGACCACACCCAGCCTCAGGTGAAGCACTTCAGATGATTACCATCTTGCTGCACCTGTCCAGGCCCTCTACACACCAGAGTCATGCATCCACCCAGGGAGAAAGGAAAAAGGAGGAAAAACGGGACAAGGGGAGAGGAATTGCCATTAGGTGGGGATAGAGGTGGAGGGAGTGAAAGATGTCTTATTATATGTGCATGCAGCACTTTGATCAGCTGAGCTCAAGTTAAAGGTTCATTAAAAATAAACAGATTTAATCACAGACTGTATATAAACATATACAGTCTGTAGATTTGATATGTGACAGAAGCTAGCTTTAGCTTCTTTCACTCCACAAGCTAACATGAGCATCAGCTCCAAAGTAGTTTCCCATTTGATCTTCTGATGTGGAAACATGAAATAAGCCAACATGTGTATGAACTTAGAAGAAGGTAGAGTCCTGCTAGTTTCCAAATCCAAGTTCAAAACATATTTTTAGACGCTGGTTTTTCAGTTTAGACCAAATTTAAATTGTATCTAAGTGCACCGTAGCACTGAGACTCACGATGTTGGTGATTAATTGTTGATGTGTTTGTTGCCGTTAATAGATGAAGCGGTGAATCAGAAGACGAGGGACACTCCTGTCAGGGAATGTGTTGTACATTAGCTGCAGTACCTGGCTGCTCCACCAGGTGGAGCCTCTTCCTGTGTAATCAGATGGAGTTACATGGTGGACTATAAATGACAAAGTGTGGTAGATTTTCCCTCCAAAGTTACCAAAACACCTCAAACCGTCTGTGCTCATTTCAGGTTCATCCATCATGAAATCAGACACAAAGACAAAGCGACTCCATCACCAGTTTCCTGTTTATTGGGATTCACATCAAAGCTCCAGCAGCCAGCAGCTGCTCACCATCACCTGACTGCTGGAGTTACTGTGCAGGCAGCCGATGCAACAATCAGACCATCAGGCTGCTTCTCAACATTACATGAGGTCACATGAGAGAAAGTACAGAGATCAGCATGTAGATCAGATTGGACTAGATNAGTACCTGGTTGTTCCACCAGGTGGAGCCTCTTCCTGTTTAATCCTGTAGAGACCAGAGGAGGCGTCTACAGACTACAGCTCATGGTGGCAGCAGAGAGCATTGTGGGAGTTTAGCAGCAGTGGGACCATGACAGAGACTCTGAGGAGGTTCAGGACCTCCAGCCAGAGTTAACGTGTTCAAGACAAACTGGGATCAACAGAGTTCCTGAATCGCAGCAACAGACGGAACAGAACGGACTGAGGAACAAACCAGGAGTCTGTGGATGGAAACATGGCAAATATGTGCTGTGATCGGTTTGTGTTATTGATTAATCTGTTGTTTATTGATAATGCTGCTCTAAGCTAGCCTCCTGCCACTAACTGTGTTCCCAGACAGGAAGGATCAAGCTGAGGTTTGATCAGATAAAAAATGTCTTGATTGGAGCTGATTCTGAACTTTCACTTTAGATCAAAACATCTTCAATTTGTGGAGGTCTCCACGTTCCCACTGTCTGAGAACATTGTTAATTAGAGAAATATAAAAAGTCCTCATTCTAGAAAAGTTCTTTCTTTATAAAAATCTTGTTTGTGAAAATGTCACCATGTGATAGAAATGTCCAGACGTTTGAGAACATCCTGACCTTCTAAAATGACTTGATCTTTTTCCAAATATGTCCTCACAGTCTTAAAAAGTCCTCCGTTCTATGTCCTGAAGGTGCCTCCTGATGACGGATCGGTCGTGTTCTGAAGGTTCTTCGTTCAGTTCTGCAGAACAAAAGTCCAGAAGAGCTGAACAACGCGCTGATGTGGACGTAATCTGAGGAGCATCCGTCCATCACCCAGCAGGTTCATCACATCTCTCCAGTTGGTCGTCTCCATTTTCCAGCTGCTGATGGAGGATCCGGATTCGTCCCAGACCAGCTGAGGTATGTGATCCCTCCCACAGCTCAGGGCCTCCTCGGAGGCCTCCTGACCAGATGTTGAACCACCTCAGATGGACACTTTCAGCAGTGACATCATACAGAGGAGACCAGTTCTGTGTCTGCTCAGAGTTCAGGACTGAATCCATCGGTCCTCATCGGTCCACATCGGTCCACATCGGTCCTCATCGGTCTGAATCGGTCTGAATCGGTCTGAATCGGTCCACATCGGTCTGAATCGGTCCTCATCGGTCCACATCGGTCCACATCGGTCCGAATTGGTCCGAATCGGTCCTCATCGGTCCACATCGGTCCACATCGGTCCGAATCGGTCCGAATCGGTCCACATCGGTCCACATCGGTCCACATCGGTCCNGAGCTTTCAGAGGTTCACAGTTTTTACCTGTCAGGTGTCACGTGCTGCAGTCATCCAGAAGGAGGCGCTAGTGAACACGTTCAAGTCACACACAGCAAATTGTAAAATGAAGCAGAAGAATAAGGGTCACGGAGCAGCTGCTGTTTCTTCACACGTTTATTCAGGGAAGATTATGGATCGTGAAACATTACAAATTTATCCAAGCAGTTTCCTTTAATGACACAAAAACCCTCCAGAAATACCCACAATTCTCTCTGCTCATCAGACTGATTGGGTTTCACTAGTTACCGAGTCAATTACAGAACCTCCACAAACAGCGTCTGGATTTTAACTCTTTCCTGGTATAAAAATAAGTTCTAAGTGCTTCACACACTTTAATACTGTCTCTGCGTCGGCATGTTCACAGCTGTCGTAAAACTCCTTCAGACAAACATGAGAAGCAAACATCACGTCGGACGAGTTCACGTTCTCCACCAGCTGCTGCCGGTGGTCGGCTCTGATGCTTTCCTCAGCGTCCAATCACAAACGTAATATCTGAATATTGTAAACATACGAGTAGAAAAGGAAACCGATCAGCCAATCAGAGGCTGACTGATGGATCACTGAACTGCAGACACGATCAGCCTGGAGCAGAGAACACGGAGGAGGACCAACGTGAGGAATTTGATTCTGGCGAGTTGGAGACGTTTCCCAGCAGCAGTTTCTGTGACGACGCAAACCTGATCGATATCGGAAAATAATCAATAACACGAGTCCACAGAGGTTTGATAATGTACGACATGTTAGAAGCAGAAGAACCTCGAGGAACCTTTGAGTTCTGAATGAAGCTTAGACCATAATGTAGATGATCCTCAATAAAACGGAAACTTTCTACATTTACACAAAAAGAGAAGTTTAACAAAGTCTTAATTTACATGTTTACTGTGAATAAAAAAGGCCCAAACTGTAAAGAACATCAAAAATATGTATTTTTCTAAATAATTCATTAAAAAAACTGGAACCAAAAATGCTTCTTCCACATGTTTTTAGTGAAATAGTAATAATAATAATAATGATAATGTTCTGTCTATGGTGTGAATATTAATATTTTTAAAGATATTTTATGTTGTGATGTTGTTCCTTCATCATGACATGAACCAAACCAGTTCTATGAAGAACATGTTGTGAACTGCAGAGAACACAGAGTAGAACCACAGTTTAGGAGTAAAATGAACAAGACTCAGTGTATACATGGAGATGAATGGGAAGAAAAAGTCCCTTTAGAGGTTCCTTAGGGTTCCTAGAGGTTCTCCTGATTCCAAAACAGTTTTTAGAGCAGTAAAACAGAAAGAACAGACTGTGGTCAGAACCAGCCGGTCAGGTTCACCGATGTAGAGAACAGTCTGATGAAGGCTCCTGTGGAGAACGTGGAACGTGCAGCTGGAGAACCTTCTAGAAGACTCCGTATCCGTCAGAGTGTCGCGTCGCCACAGCGAACGCCGGATATCCTTCATAGGCGAAGGTCAGATCCTGAGAGAGAGTCTGCTTCAGCTGGGAGGACGAGTAGCCTGGAGACAGACACACAAACACACAGCCTCCAGTACAACAACACAACCAGTACAACACAACAACCAGAACAACACAACCAGTACAACACAACAACCAGAACAACACAACCAGAACAACACAACAACCAGAACAACACAACAACCAGAACAACACAACCAGAACAACACAACAACCAGAACAACACAACCAGAACAACACAACAACCAGAACAACACAACAACCAGAACAACACCACTTGCACCACCTGCTGTTGGTGGGACTGTTCCAGGATCACATCTACAGAACAACAAACTCTGATGGAAGCTGTTTCAGTGTTTGTGGGTTTCCTGATGGTTCGTGTCCACAGAGACGTTTTGGACGTTTGAGGTGAGAAATAAGACTTGAAGCTGTTGAGTCTCTTTATTTTAGATGAACAACTATCAGTTTAGCAGTTTCTCAGAAGTTTACAGAGACTTCACCTGGCAGCTGGATGGCTCTGATGTAAATAAAGTAAAGCTGAGACCTCAACTTTGTGTGAACGAGGAGCAGCAACACAAGAGCCGGTCCTTGGAAACGCATCAAGACGCTCCCAGAATGCTTTGCAAGGTGCCTCACATGGACAAAGAGCAGGACGTGATGAAATGACGGATCATCTGGACCCGTCTTTGGACCTGAGTTGCTGCGTTGCTTTCCAACGCTGTGTGTTGATGGACTCGGTGGTGCCGCAACAGATGACTGACAGCAGCTCTTCAACAGGAAGCAAACACAGGCTCCGCCCTTCTTTGGCTGTGCAGCCATTAGCAGCACCTGATTGGACGAACGCTTCACTGAATGCTTCTGATTTCTAACTGGACCAACATGGCAGCACATCTTGGTTTTTTTTCCTCTGACCTCAACTTGACGTAAACAGGAAGTAGCAACGTGACACCACGTCTTTGGAAACTCACTGTGATGCTCCCAGAATGCACTGCAGCGCTGCTTACACAGACGCTGAGTGTGAAGCATTAAGATGGCGGCTCCTGTGGACGCGAACCATGCAGCGTCGCCTGTTAGTGGTTTGTTGAGTGTTAGTCGGCTTTAATACGGACCTTCACATACCTGGGAAGGCCACCGAGGCCACAGCGGCTGCAGCAGCGTCAGCGGCGCCCTCTGTCTGCAGGCCGAGCGTCTGCAGGGTGTGTTCAGCTGCATGAACTTTAGCTTCTTCTACAGCTGCACACAGCTTAGTAGGGGTGAAGGGGTGACTGCAGACACACAACACAGATAATCACTGTAGGAAGGAAGTCGAAAGGTTAATGCTGATGCTCATCGGGTTGCTGAAAAGGTTTCGCCTGTGTCCTGTCTGTCCTGTCTTTGTCTTTGTTCGTTTGTCCTGTTTGTTGCCTGTATAGCTGCTTCATGTCCCCCTGCCTCTGGTTTTATATTCAGTGTTGAGCCTTTTGGTGTTTCTTCAATTCTTGCTTCTTGCTTCTGTTATCTTGTTGGATTTGTGGATCTGGACTGTCTGTTTTTCAGCTTTTTGCTCCTTAAATACCTGCTGTTAGTTTTTTCATTTTGGTCCTTTTCATTCATGAGGTTTTATTTAGAAGTTTGGTTGCAGTAGTAGTAATATTAGCATAGTGCTAGCAGGTGTAGTAGTAGGGGTAGTAAAAGTGGTAGAAACAGTTGCAGTAATATTAGCAGTATTTTCAGCAACAGTGATGGTAGTATTTGCAGTAGTACTAGTAATAGTAGTACTATGAGTAGTACTCCTTACACGTTGGTGTACTGTGTAGCCAGAGCTGGGATGGTGATCTTGTAGAGGAACAGCTGTCTCTGATCAGGACTGATGGCAGAGTGAAGCTGATAGACGGGCTGACCCCAGTTATTCTTCTGACACAGCTCCTCCAACACCTGGGGGACAGGTAGGTACAGACAGGTAGGTACAGACAGGAAAGTACAGACAGGTGGACACAGACAGGTAGACACAGACAGGTAGACACAGACAGGTAGACACAGACAGGAAGGTACAGACAGGTAGACACAGACAGGTAGGTACAGACAGGTGGACACAGACAGGTGGACACAGACAGGTGGACACAGACAGGTGGACACAGACAGGTAGGTACAGACAGGTAGGTACAGACAGGTGACAGACAGACAGGTACATTTTTGACTGTCGATCAACACATTCAGTTGTTTCAGGTTGTTTAAGGGCTGATCACTGATCTTCGCTNATCGGTCCTCATCGGTGCTCATCGGTCCTCATCGGTGCTCATCGGTCCACATCGGTCCACATCGGTCCTCATCGGTGCTCATCGGTCCTCATCGGTGCTCATCGGTCCACATCGGTCCACATCGGTCCACATCGGTCCGAATCGGTCCACATCGGTCCACATCGGTCCGAGTCGGTCCGAATCGGTCCACATCGGTTCACATCGGTCCACATCGGTCCACATCGGTCCTCATCGGTGCTCATCGGTCCTCATCGGTGCTCATCGGTCCACATCGGTCCACATCGGTCCGAATCGGTCCTCATCGGTGCTCATCGGTCCACATCGGTCCACATCGGTCCACATCGGTCCACATCGGTCCACATCGGTCCTCGTCGGCTCAGCTGTTCATCGCTCAGACCCGTCACTGCTGAACACACTCGTGTGCTCGGGCTTCGTTATCTGCAGACGTGAAGCAGACTGGAGGCGGTGAAAGCAGCTGAAGCGAGCCGAGCGATGGAAGCATGAGAGCAGCAGCTGGTGTCCACGGACGCTCTGTTTTCCTGAACTGAGATACGAGTGTTTTTGAAGCGAGCAGCAGAGGTCAAGGTCTGCTCACTAATCATTGACAGACTGTGGACAGAAAGCAGCTCCACAGATTACAGACAGAATCAGAACCACGGTTCCTCCACTCGGTCAGGATTATTCGTCTCAGAGGCTACATGTTCTAATTAGAACGACCCTGTTCTGTTTCTCTCCTGCTGAAGTTCAAATCTGCATCAAAGTCAGGCTGAGAACCGTCTGGAGGCTGAACGTGAGCTAAACTGAGCTAAAGCTCCTCACTGGGCAAACATCTGCTGACCTACAGACGCTGCAGTTTACAGATGTTCCCTGAACGCCTCACAGTCATCTGTAGTGTTCCGTCTCATGTTCCTTCACTGAGGTTCGTGTTTCTCTGCAGCTCTGTGGAACCAGAACATGGAGATGGAGAGAGAAGCTGCAGGCGACCGTCCTGAACACCAAACTACAAGTTCTGCAGCTCTGATAGTTTTTTATTATTTTCTATTTTCATGACGGTTCTCGTCTCCCTGCCGCTAATGTTCCACCTCAGCTCTTCCTTCGTTACTATTTTAAGGGAATGCTGAAGCTGCGGCCTGACTTAGCCCCGCCCACGACCACTCTGATTGGTCAGAAGAAATGCCAACAAGCCCCGCCCAGCAGCAGAATGACAGGTGATGATGTTCTGGTGGAGGACGTTTCACCTGCCGAGCGTCTCCAGCGACCTCCGTCTGCTGGTTCTGAAGGCTGTAGAACACTCACAGCTTTCACAACGAAGACGTTTCAGCTGTTTTATAAAACGTGATCTGAACGTATTAATGTCGTTCAGTCAACGCCGGGTTACTTCTGTAGCCTGCACAGTCCAGCAAACACCAAACGATGAACGTCAGACCGCTGGAAAGATGTTTTCAGTTTTACTAAAACAGATCATATCCAGAGAAACAACCAGACCAAGATGTAAACAAGCCGAAGCTGTGAAGAGCGTCCACGTCCGGAACCAGGAGCTCGTTCCTTCCTTCACTGTGTTTGTCTGTAATTACACTATTTTCACTTTGTTCTCTTTTTATCGGTGTAATTATATTGTTTTACACATATCTGCTGCTATTTTCACTGTTTTTGAACGTTACAGTATTTCATAATGTAAATGTTTTTTAAATGTTGTTTTACAGTTTTCCTTTTGTTTAATTTATTTATGATCAAATAAAATCACAGAAAAACACAATTAATTAACAGGCTGACGGTAACGTGATTCTGTGACTGAATCAGCTTAAACATGTGGTTGTACAGATGTCTGCTGCTTCATCGCCACGGTTCAGTTTAGTGTTTGTCTGAACACCAGCTTTGATATAAATCAGTTCTGTTGAAAACAGAGCTGCAGGATTCCTTCATCTGACTGCACAAACAACAACAACAACAACAACAACAACAACAACAACAACAACAACAACAACAACACAGCTCAGTTAAAGCGAAGCCTCCGAACAAACAGAAAGTTAAACATCAGCGACTCTCTTCACATCAGAGGAAACTTTGGTTTTCACTGGAAATATTTTATGTGAAGCTTCAAACAGAAACAGTGAAAACAGATCAGTCACCAGGTTTTTAACCTCCAGACGGTCCTTGAATGCATCGTGTGCTGCTGAAGAACGAGCAAAGCTGAGCCTCAAATCATGATACTGGGTCAAAATAGCTCCAAAAATAACGCGTTTCAATCAGAATCCTTCAAAAACCAGAAGTGTGAGCCAGCCGAGGCGACCCAGCCCCGACCGAGAGGCGTTCAGGGACCGTCACCAAAACTCAGCCGTTTCATTTGGTTCTCGTCCATCCTGGTCTGGTTCTATCGTCCTGATGAAGCTACAGATCTACACGGAGCTTCTGTGTGGATCGTTTTCTGGATCAATCCATCAGCTGTTTGGTCTAAAACGTGATCAGATGTTCTTTAAGTCCAAAGATGTTCAGTTTACTGTCGCAGAGGAAGGAAACCAGGAAATGTTCCCAGTCACAGACTTCAGGCTGCTTTCAGTAGAAGTGACTCAAACGGGAAGCGAGGTTTCAGGAGCTCCTGGACTCTGAGCAGGTGAGGATGTTTGGAGGAGAGCTGGCAGGAAAACAGCAGCTGGACCCAGTAACCTGCAGCTGAATCCACCAATCAGAGCTCAGAGCTGAATCCACCAATCAGAGCTCAGAGCTGAANCAGGTGACTAGATAGGACCTGGGAGGGGACATGTGAGCTGTTTTTGTATCAGGCTGCATATTGATTAATGTTTTCTGATCAGTCAATCTGTCTGAGGTCTGAAGGTCTGTGTGCTTGTTTCTGATAGCTGTGATCACATCATATAGAGATTATCTTATCATCAGAGCTCTCCTCCTATTGGACGCTGACCCAGTGACAGGCACTGTGATTGGTTGATAACAAGTCTAACAGTCAGTGGAGGAGACTTTGACATTTTTTATTGTGTTGTCTGTTTGGTACTTTGGCTGCTTTAAAACAATCTGTTTGCCAAACAGCTGCACATGTTCCCACACTGCCAGCGTCGGTTTGCTGCTGTCAGCTGACGTCTGCTGTCAGCCGGCAGCGCTCAGTGCTTCAGTGAGCGCTGTGCTGTTCACTGGAAGGTTGCCAGCAGACAGGTTAGGAGACCTCAGGTTGACCTGACTCAACATTTGCGTCTACCTGGCAGCAGCTTGCGTCGAGCCATGGCGGCCGCTCGGTGGCTCTCGTACTCGACGAATGCGAAGCCTCGGTTCTTGGATTTGTCGGCGGCGCTGGGATACACGATGACGTCCACGACTCCGTCTGTGACCTTCCTCATCTCCGTCAGGATCTCCTCACGCTTCTTGGTTTTGGGAATCCCGCCCACAAACAGACGGCAGTTATCGACGCTGGCGCAGACGCCGAGGAGGCGGCCGTTCCTGCAGGACGGGAGGAAATAAAGTTCATATCAAATTCTAATGAAATCTGTTGGTGCTTTCCACTGCAGGAGCCCAGAGGACGTTTCAGAACGCATGAATCGTCCCTCTAGAACCATTAGAGACATGTTCAGGGATGAAAAGTTCCTCTGACTGACTCTGAAGAACTGCCGAGTGGTTCTCGATGCTGATTGGTGGACAATCAGCACCATCTTTTATGTAGCAGTAGATCTCCTCACACAGGCCAATATAACAGATGGAACCTGTTCTGTTCCTACACAGAACCGATGCTACATCCAGGACCTGCTGTTTGTCAGCACTAACATTGTGGTGCTGTTGGATCCTGTGTTGCTATGGGAACAGCGAGCTAAAGGGCAGGTCAGTGGACCGGTCCTGTAAACGTTAGCACCACCTCGAGTTCCTGCAGTGAACTCCGGCTGCTGAGCTGCTGCTGGAGGCTGAAGGTAGATCACAAAGTGGCTGTGAAGGTGGTCAGGTGTTCGTCTGAGGGTCTGTTGGGTTGGAAGCTTCAGCTAATGTGTCACCTGACTGATGTGGTCCAGCAGGTTCTTTAAGGTGGATTACTAAAGTCTGACTGTTTTTCATGTTGTTGTTGTTGTTTGCTGCTGCAGTGTTGTTGTGGGGCTTGTATGTTGCTCTGTGGTTGCTAGAACGTTTGCTCTTCAGCAGTTTGTCCAGGTTGGTCTTTTATGAGGATAATTATTGATGAACTGGCTAATATGGAAAATACTTGATGGATTAATTTGGTAGAAAAACAGTGTCTTCTGTCCTTCTGATGTAAACATCTCAGTCCTTCTGCAGAACATCAAGCGGAACCGTCTGAACCACCCTGATGTAGAAACAGAGTGAGCAGCAGCTTCCTGACCTGATCTCATAGTTGTTGAGCTGCTTCATGGCTGCTTTGGCTTCCTGTTTGGTGCTGAAGGTGACGAAGGCGTAACCTCTGTTGTTCCCGTTAAAGTCCATCATCATCCTCACCTCGTAGATCTTTCCAAACTGCAGAGGAAGAAACAAAAGACGTCAGATCAGACAGTGAAGCATGATGTTGTATCAACAGAAAGTTCTCTCACCTTCTCACACAGAGGAACCAGTTCGTCTTCAAACAGATCTCTCGGTAGCTTCCCCACAAAGATCTCGCTGCCTCTCTCCGGTGGAGGTCCGTCCCAGCCGGGCGGCGGGCCTCCGTAGCGCCGCTGGCCGTTCTCCTGGAACACACCGGAACAAATTCATTCTTCTGGACACTCTGGCTGATACTTCAGAGACCTACAGGATCTCTGTTTCCCACCTGCCGCAGTTGGTATCCGGTTCGTTGCATGAGCGTCCGAAGCGCCGCCTCCTTCTGCGTCCCCGCCAGTCCGTCGCCGCCTGCTTTCTGATTGGATTCCATTGGGTGTGATTGACAGCAAAATGTAAATCAGGGAAATTAAAGGTGCTCACTGGAAAACAGCAGAACACAACAACAAACGTGTCATTTGTGTTGTTCTAAACCTCAGTTCATCTGTTTGAGTCTGGATTTAAACCTCCATCACGTCAGATGACCAGAATGCTGGTTGCAGTTTCTGAACAAACACCGGCGCTGTTTTAAAAATCTGAGTAACGTTCAGACTCAGACCAACTCTGAACGGATAAATCCCATCCAGGCTAGTTCATGTACGCAGCACATTTAAAGACCTGAAACATGCTGTAAATGTTAGAAGACAGACGACAGCACAGCAAAAAGCAAGTCAGAGAACTGACGGGAAACATATAAATTCAACCGTAACCAGCCTATCACAGGGCTNGATCAACACATTCAGTTGTTTCAGGTTGTTTAAGGGCTGATCACTGATCTTCGCTCTTGTGGCTCCTCTTTGTTATGCTTTCTGTCCTCCTGTTCAGTGTTTGTACATTTCAGGGAGTCATTTTTAGATGAAGTGTTTTGGAAATGGTGGTAAATCTATAAAAACATGCAGTCGCAGGTGATGTCAGGTGTGCTACCTGTGGGGCCGGTTTGATGGCGGTGGCCTTCAGACTCATGGCAGCAGGGTTCATGGGGGTCAGCTCCATCCCCGGCAGCAGGTCGTACAGCTTCTCCTCAGGCTGCTTGTCCGTCTTCAGGCCATAGGAGGCGCCGCCGCCTCGACCCATGGCTCCGCCCCCGGCAGCGTAGGCCAGGTAGCCCCTCCCACCCAGCCCCCGCACCCCCGCAGCCCCTACAGGTACAGTCATGTAAATTTCTACAGGAGACCGAAAAGGCAGTGAAATCAATCAAATCACCAGAAATCAACCGGGAGGAAGAATCACACAGTCACACGATTATCCAATCAGAGCTACAGTGGTAACCATGGTAACCGCACGTCCTGCTGCAGCCTCTCGTTCCATCCGGATGATTTTTACTTTGGTTTTTACTGAATTTTAGTTTCACTCGTGATTCACCATCTTTGTCTGATTTGATTCCTGAACACGAACAGATATTTTTATCATCTTTACATTCGTCTGATTGGACTCAGCTGGACGTTTACAGCAGATCATCACAGTCAACCACAGGTGAACTGACAGAAGCCCCGCCCCCTTCTGTGTCACACCTGTGACGCAGCAGAGGTGTCTGGTCGTTTCACAGATGTCACACAGACGTTGGGTCGGTCCAGGTCTTAGTTCTGTATGATGAGATAACGTGTCTCTGCAGTCGACTAGTTGATGCCGGTTCAGTCAGTTCACCTTCAGAACCATACAAACGTGCTGCTGTCTGTGGAAACCCTCCAGCTCTGTGAGCGTCTCCCTTCATCTGATTCTGGTTTTCAGCCAACAGCAGCAGTTTGTATTAAATCTGAACATTGTGTGGTTAAACTGTTGGAGAGCAGCTGCAGGAGGAGCTCAAACCTCAGAACATGAACGTCAGGTTGTTTGTACAGAATCTGTTGTGAATGAAACAAGCAGATGTGACTGAAGGTCAGTTTGAGGGTCATGATGCTGGTTTGGGTCACTGCTATGTCCACTGCTCCATCCTCAAAATTATTGACACAGCAGGAAAAGACTTTGTTAAACTTCAGGTGTTCAGGACGAAAACCCTAAAACAGTGAGATGACAGAACCACGTGGACTGCCGTGACTCCAACATCCTTTATCTTGGACAAAAACTAATATGAAGTGAGTTTGTTTCTGAGGGCGAGCTCTCCTTGCAGCTGCTTCCATCAGCTTCATTCAGTTTCTCCACAGATCGCAGCAGAACAGTTCGTCCTCACCTCTGACCGACGGCGTCCGGATCAGACCTCGACCTCCAACGTGAGCTTTGGCTGCTGGGAAGCGGAACTGACCTGGGATGGCAGCGTAGGCCTGGGGGGCATAAAACACTGGCGCACCGAGGTACGCCGCCGAGGGGTCGTACACCTGCAGGAGGAGGGGCGACTGTCAGGGTTTAATGAGCATGGAAAATATCTCTCAGACGTTCAGGATCCCAGAGGACCAACGATTCCTCTGACTCTCCTGCAGCGCCACCATCAGGTTCATAGTTGGTAATCAAATATCTCAACACATCATGGAAGGATGACGGAACAGGCTCAGGGCTCAGAGCTGTCAGGAAGTCAGTCAGACCGACGAAATGAATCAGCCACAGGTAGACAAAACGACCACAACAACCACAAAGACACAGAACAGCCTGAGACAAAGAGCAGCTGCATGTCTTCACAGTGTAGTGCTGGGACCTGTCCACTGGGTGGAGCTGTTTACTGCTTCACTTCCACCAGGACTCTGTTCACTGATTCAGCCTGCTCACTGCACTAAAGTCGACAACTGTGTCTGAAACAGCTTTTTATCTGACAAGTCAAAGTTTAATGTCTCCATCAGAACCACCAGTGCAACACCTCGATTCAGAGTGG